GATCAAGAGGAGGGCTGGGCTGAGTCTGACGAGGGGTGGAAGCCCACCCTCTCCCCTCCTGTCTCCACCGTACTGTGAGCACCCTAATCCTGGAAGCCCACCATCGACTCCCACTGCTCAAGGAACACAGTTCAAACATCTCTACCAGATTATTCCTCCTAAGAATGACCTGGATAGTGAATCCCCACTCTCCAGCTTCCAGTTGTGTGGCCTTGGGCCAGTAACTCACCCTCTCTGTGCTCCAGTTTACTTCTCTGTACAGGGAGGATCAGAAGTCCCACTCCTTAGGGTGTATATGGTGACTGGTTACCAAGGTCCTCTTTGCATGGGATCAAGATTCTACATGTATCAAATGTCAATCTTTTTTTAACTGAGAAGATGTTCCGAGCTCAGGGGGAACAAGCCTGTTGGAGACCCAGGTGTCCCTCTGGCTCCCTGGGCTGCCTCCTGTTGTGTCCCCACAGCCCTGGGCCTGAGGGCCTGGACTGGGCGTGCTTCTTACCTAYAGTGCCTGAGAGGCTGGGTGTCAGGCGGACCCTTGAGAACCTTCTGAGTGGTGGTCCGGCTCCTGGCATGGGACGCAGGCCTACCTGGAAGAGCAGGTGAGCCTCAGCCAAGTTCCACGAGCCTCCAGGGCCGTGCTGGGCAGGTCCACCCCCCGGAAACCGACCAGACTCCTTCCCAGGTCAGAGCCCAGGCTCTTCCAAAGGGGAGCACGTCTGCCCACCGGGGCCTGCACTACTGAGCCCCTCAGCTGGGCCCACGAAGCCCCACCCCAGGGCCCAGAGGGGCCAGCAGAACTGCAGAGGCTCTGGGCGCAGAGAAGCTTGTCAGGAACACACCAGAAACACCCGGAACCCTGGAGTACCGAGGGCGTGTCACAGAGCACGGGGTCCTGTGGGTCACCACGGTTCAGTCAACGCCGTCCGCCTCTCCCTACAGCAGACCACCAGCCCAGAGGTGACAGGAGTCGTGGGTTGGAGGAGCTGGAAGTCGTGGGCACCGTCGGCGGGAACGCAGAAGCACACGCGTGGAAATCCACACGGAACCGCCATTGGGTCCAGCAGCAGGAGGACAGCAGATGGGGAGAAGCAAGGGTGGCCCACCCTCAGCCCCACAAAGGAAAGGGACCTGACCATGTCACCCCTGGAAGAGCCCAGGACACCTGCCAGTCACCGCAAGACCCGAGCTGCACGATGCCACCACAGGGTCAGGGACACTTGGGGTCTCAGCCACCAAGTAGAACGCGCAGGGGCTGGTGTRTCCCGGGCTGTGGAGACAGACGTGGTCATGGGCACGCCGCAGGGAGGATGAGCTCACTCCAGAGCGGAGCACGTAATGCACCCAAGACGGTCAGTTTTACGTTATGTGCATTTTTTCTGCATTAAAACAAAACCTGGAAGATGCCACGAGGCCTGGGAAAACTTGACTCTGGCTTCTAGAATCTAACGGAATCGGCGGTGGAACCGTCCATAGCATAGATGGCCAAAGGCAGTTTTAAATCTGGGTTTTCAGGTGGGGGTCTGCTCGCGGCTGGTCCACGGGTCTCCGGCTTGGCCTTTYCCCTATGGTAGTTGGGAGGTTTATTCCCACTGAATCTTCTGGTTTCTGACTCCAGTGGATGGGCCACAAGAGACACACTAGCAGGCTAGTGAAGGCAGAAGTTTCCTGTTTGTTAAGGCCTGAGGTGTGTCCCTAACAGCTCATAGGTGGACCTCAGCCTGTGGCTGTTCTTTACGGAGATGTAACATAGAATGAAGTCATATGGGTGTCCCTCATCCAATGTGACAGGTGTCCTTAAAAAGAGATTGGCTTTGGGGGTAGGAAGGACAGTAGAAGGAGTGGGACATCATTACCCATGTGCATATATGATCACACGACTTGTGTACCTCACATCATGTGCCACCAGAAAAATGAGAAGTCAGACTCCATTTATATATGATGTGTCAAAATGCAGGCCACTGTCACATGTAGCTAATTAGAGCAAGACAGTGGGACACAGACATGCACAGAGGACCGTGTGAGGACACGGTGAGAAGATGCATCCTCAGGCCGGGAGAGAGGCTCAAGAGGAACCAGCCATGCCCACCTTGACCTTGGGCTTCCAGCCCCAGGACTATGCACAATCCAACGCTGGGTAGAAGCCACCTGCCGGTAATATTTGTGGCATCTACCCGAGCAAATTAATGCTCTACTCCACTTTCAAAGTACTCCTCAGGCCCCAGAATAGCACCAAGGGCTATTCTGTGTGCGGACGAGCCAGGCTTGGAGGAACCAAGGTCACACTGCTCACACTGCTGGCCAGTGCCGGGCCAAGCCAGGTTCTCCACTGGAATCCGCATGCCCTCTTCCAAGTCCTGCCTGAGGATGGGGAGGGTGTGAAAGCGCCCCACAGACAGAGGATGAAGTACTGAGAGGTCTGCAGAGTGTCAGAGCGGACCTGGCACAGCGGAGGGGCAAAGCCTCACATGTACCGTTGCCGCCAAACCTCCCGATGTGCCCACCCTCTGGGTGCCGGTATTGTGCCCATTTCACAGACGAGGGAACTGAGACTCGGAGAGTCAAGTGGAGTTTGAGTCCAGGCCTCTGACCCAGGACCTTGCTGGTTCTCATTTCACCAGGTCTGAATGGCCTGTGCATCCTTTCCTGATGGAGTCTGTCTTTCTGGGGGAGGGGAGGTGGCTTGTGGCTGTAGGGCGCTTTCTCCCAACCATAAATCTGCAGCAGGGAGAACACTAATGCTTTGCCCATTCATACCCTCTTGGCCTCTGCCTCCTGGCCACATCCCCACTCTCTCCCGCCCCACTTTCCCTTCCTCCCCTCCCTTCCATGAGTCTCATCTCCTGGCTGGGAGCTGGAGGGCTCTTTGTCCTGTCTGAACTTATTTATGTGGAACAAAGGCCACCAGGAAACCTGTCCCAGGCCCGGCCGCTGGGGCAGTGCGCCCCCTAGTGGGGAGAACTCTCCCTGGTCCCGCAGGCCGGGATCCAGCCTCCCCTTCCCAGGGGTTCCGGGGCAGCGGAGTAGAGGAGGGCCCCTGCCTTCCTAGCCCTACGTGCTGATCTCCTGGGCTTGTCAAGCCCCTGCAGACGTCACTGCACACTAGAGCAGCATCAGCTGGGCCTGTGGTTCTAGGGCCCCAAGTGACACTACGAGAAGGGGCACTTGCAGACCTCACACAGCCTGGCCCAGCAGTTCTCAGTCCTGGGTGGACATTGGGAATATTTAAAAATGCTGATGCCCCAGCCCACCTGGAACCTGGCGCTGGGACTTGTTAATGTGCCACCCTCCCCCCACCTGGACTCCTACATAATTCTCACGTGCAGCAGGGCTGAGAGCCCTGGTCCTCAGCTACTTATGAAGGTGCACTGCTGACGTCCTCCTCCTGTAAGCACCGTGCTCCCTGCACAGCACCTACCCATTGCAAGCAGCCGTGACAGCCAGAGTCAGGTTCAAATCCCAGGTCCAGCCTGACCAGCTAAGAGAGGAGGCTGGTGGGGAGGGGTCTCTTTCAGTTTCTTCATCTRTGGAAACAGGTGGTCATAGGAACAAGAGCCACGATGCCCCGACCTCTCTCCCACCCTCAGACTGTGGTGGAAACAAACAGCAAGTTGTATGCAAACCCCAGGACACTGCAGGGGACACTCCAGGGTTCAATCCTGAGGGCCCCGCCACGTGGCCACAGTCCTGTAGCCGGAGCTTCTGTACCTGGGTTTCCTCCTCTGTTCCTGGGGTGCTAAATTCCTAGCTCAGGGGTTCTCTCGGGGTCAGATGTAGGGAAACACAGCGAGCTGGCTGCCAGGCTGGGGAGGGCGGGGATGGGCAGGGGAGCCGGGGATTTTGAGGGAAGTGGAGCTGTCCTGGGAGCACATGCATATGTCATGGTACTTATGTCAAAACCCACAGAATGTTCCACACAGAGCGAACCCTGGTGCCAGCTGTGGTCTTTGGTTAGTAATGTGCTAACACTGACTCTTCAATTGCAGCAAATGGACCCGCCATTTCAATATAACAGTAGAAACTAGAGGAGGGGGAAGAGGGCACACGGGGACTGCATACTTGGGGACTATTATTATTATTATTATTATAAACCTAAACTGTTAAAAAATTAAGCCTATTATAAGCAGAACGAAAGCAGGACAAGTGGGGCGCCTTGGTGACCAGCAGGACCACCCACGGGCTTTGRAGTACCACCCAGTGCCCCTGGTGCCTGGGGTTGGAGCCCCAGGAGCGGGTCTCTCACAGTCCCCCAAAACCCTGGTTCCCAGGACTCCAGGACTCAGGCCAAGGATTTGTGGGGTGAGGGCGCCCCCTTCCGGCCTTGAGAGGCAGGGACAGCTGGGTCCCTGGTCGCCCTGGGGCTGGGGACTGGATTTCACGGGGAATCGGGGGCTCCCTCAACGTGCACACTAGTACACATCCTGCCTGCCACCTCCCGATTTGTTAATGCCAGCAACGATACGGAAGATGTCAGACTCTCGTGGCTTTGTGACGAGTCCCATAGTGCCAGCGCACAGCCAAGGCAGGACTAATGGCTCCTCCTCAGGCATCTGGGAGGAGGGGGGGGGAGGCCTTGCAGTCAGAGCAGTGGTGGCTTGCTGCTGGCTGATCTCGGGTTATGGCTGGTAGCACTGAGCCTTAGGCGATGACAATCACCTAACTGTGTCAGGCACTCTGAACTCTTTACTGGACTTGACCACAAACAAAAATGGTCTACCCCCATTTTACAAACAAGGAATGGGATACACAGAGAGGCTAGGTAACTTGTCCAAGGGCACACAGCTAGTGAAAAGTGGCTTCTATTTGGCTCCAGCTCCAGAGCCCCGACACCAGCCACCTGCCAAGCCACCTCACCTCCTGGTTTCCCCATCTGAGAAGTGGAATGCCATCCCCCACTGCCTTAGCRGCTGGTCTGGGCTGGATGGAGAGCTGAGAGTGAATGTCAAGGTCAACCTCAGTCCCTAGGCTTGGTGCAGGGAGTCCCTTGAGGCAGCAGGTGCCTAGGGCTGCAGCTCATACTGGCCCTCGGTGGCYGTGTAGAAGTCCTCAAGCACCGACTGCAGGAACTCAAAGGTGGGCCGCTCCTCKGGCCGACTTCGCCAGCACTCAGCAATGACCTGGCGGTACAGCTCGGGTGGGCACGTGTCCGGCCTTGGCATGCGGTAGCCTCGCTCCAGGCTGCAGATGACCTCAGGATTGCTCATGCCTGCAGGCAGAGGGACAGAGCATGTCGGGGAGGGTGGTTTCCAGAGGGGAAACCTGGGGGACACTGGGCCTGGAAGGGGGAGAGCAGCCCCCACAGGCTCATCAGATCAGTCTCCTCCCTGGTTGGTCACCTGGCCACCCAGCTGGTGACCCTTTAAACAAAACTTGGTTTACTTTTATCTGGAGAGCTGGAAAGGAGGCTGTCGATTCTCTCCTGAACTCAGACAATCCGTCTCAGGACGGGACCCTGTCTAGGTCACCTGTCCAGGAAAACTGAACCTCTGCTACTGGTAGAGCTGTTCCCTGCAGCCTGCAGAGCTGCTTAGGCCATTGTGACATGAGCCTGGGGCTCAGGTTCTGCCCAGGGACAGGCTTCAGAGGATGCCCCCAGGCTAAGGCCAAAGAGGGACCACTGTCCTCAACGGCCAGCAAGCTCCCTGGATGAACTCTGTCCAGACCTGACTGCCTTGGCTGCTGTTTTTAGTGGGCACAGCCCTGAGGCCCAGAGTGCTACTGAACCAGAGGGAGGCCTGGATCCCAGTCCAGCTAATGGGCGGCCCTCTGACAAGTGGGTGGTGGCCACAGTGCCCGAGGATGGGATGGCTGCCATGGGCCGTGACAGCAGAGCAGAGCACTGTGAGAGCTGCAAGAGGCAGCGCCTACCTGGGTAGGGCACGCGCCCATAGGTGACGATCTCCATCAGGAGGACCCCGAATGACCACACGTCTGCTTTGATGGTGAACACCCCAAAGTGGATGGCTTCCGGGGCAGTCCACTTGATGGGGAACTTGGCTCCTGGGGGAGAAGCCCAGCAGCTCTATGAGGCCAGCCTGGCTGTCCTGCCCACAGCCTCCCCGCCTGTCCCCACAGCTGGGCCTCAYGGGGCTTGGCCACCGGACAGTGCAGAGGTGCACCCAGGGAGTCAGGAGGACCCTGGAGGGTGTGTGCCTGAGAACACACAGGCCCCAAAGGATCCTCACAAGAGGAACTGTTGGTGCTCCGCAGGCTGAAGGGACTCCAGCAGAGGAGGAGACCTTTGTCACCTGGTGGGGCACAGTGGCTGATGTTCTTTACCATCCAGAGACTCAGGAGTCTCTACCAGTCACAGCTCTACCAGCTACACATCTGTCCCCACTGTCCTTAGGGTCTTTAAAAAGAGAGCAGGTGGGCCGGGCATGGTGGCACACACCTGTAATCCCAGTGGCTTGGGAGGCTGAGACAGGAGGATGGAGAGTTCAAAGCCAGCCTCAGTGAGTTAGAGAGGCACTAAGCAACTCAGTGAGACCGRTCTCTAAAGTAAAATACAAAATAGGGCTGGGGACGTGGCTCAGAGGTCGAGTGCTCCCCCACCCCCCMAAAAAAGAGAGTAGGTGGGCTTCACTGGGCAGCATGCATGAATTTCCATCTGGGATGGAAGAGTCCTTTTCTATGTCACATGGCCTTGTAACATAGGCCCGACATTTTAACTTGTCCCAGCCTCAAGTAGTCCTCAAAGTGAAGGCTGCAGTCCTGGGTGGCATTTAGGGCAGACCTCGTGGCTCTCCACTGGGTGCCCGTCCTGTGAGCCAGCCTGAAGTCCCCTGAGGACAGACGTGGTCCCCGCACCACATCGCTCCTCCTGTGTCTGCTGATGTTCATACTCGGCTAAAGGTACTCAGATCCCCCCGTGAAGCAGATTTTGAGAGTAAAGCAAGAGTGCTCTGCAGAAACCTCAATGTAGGTCCAAGAATTTGCTGCTCCTGTTTCAGTGTGTTCTGTGAAAGCCCAGCTCCGCGGGGTTCACAGGAGCCAAGTGGGAAAAGCATTTGCAACTCAAATTAGTTGGTGAGACACCAGGTGAATCGCCTCCGACAGGTTGTGAATCTCCAGGGCGGTGGGAGATGGGCTGCCCAGTCTCTAACCCACCGCAGGCCGAGCTCCTCCTCGTGAGAGGTCTGGAGGCACTTCTTTTCTGCCATATGTATTTAGGGGGGAAGGCCAAGTGGTGGGGGCCACAGAGGCCTCCCGGGGTCCCTTTCAGTGAGGCTCTGCAGTGCAGCACCAAGGAGAAGCTCAAGAGGGCTTTGGGGAGCTGGGCAGGTGAGGCCCGGCGTCTCCCTGCAGCTGGGGCTCTGCTCACCCTCTTGGACAGTGTATTCACTGTCAATGATCCGGGCCAAGCCGAAGTCCGCAATTTTGCAGCACAAGGTCTCAGACACCAGGATGTTGGCYGCCCTCAGGTCTCGGTGGATGGAATTCATGTGCTCGATGTACGCCATCCCTTCCGCGATCTGAGGAGACAGGCCCCAAGGTGAAGGTCGGCGTGGGGGCCTCTCCTYCCAGCGTCCCACACAGGCCCTGGGAGAGCAAGGACCTGACCACCACCTGACTGTGGACCAGCTCATCCTCTGGCAAGGCTGATGGGGCAGAAGGGCACAGTGGGTGCCTTTGATTGCTTTTAAGTGGATGCATGGAGGGCGGCTACCACTGGGAGGGACATGTGTCCTCCTGGGCGGAGAAGAAAGAGGGCTTCCACTACTTCCAGCTGACACAGAGCAGCAGAGGGGCTAGCTGTCTCCTCCTGCCCTCCCCGTCCAAGCAGCTGTCTCCACAGGCCTGCCAGGGAGGACAGGCAGGAGGGGGAGAGGGAGGGGCGGAGGGCACAGTCAGAGGGCACCTCTCCCTGACAAGCCCTCTGCCTGAAGTCTGGAGCCCGTTCAGCAAGTCTCTAAGCCTCCCTGGGGGCTCCGTCCTGATGGACCATGGAGGGGGCTCCCGATCCAGGAGTTAAGGCCAGCCTTCAATGAAGTAACTCCTGCTAAGGCTCGAACCTGCATGTAGGGATCCGGGTGAACAGAGGAGCTTGTCTTGGTCCAGATCGCAGCACCAGGCCAGGACTACCTGCTGGGCCCCCTCTGTAGCTCTTCTAGCTAAGGCTTATTCACCCCTTGATGGATGAGGAAATTGAGGCCGAGAATAGAGAGCCAGTGGATCTCCCCCAGCATCCAGGAACCCTAAAGACATCGACTCGGGTCTTGAGCTGACCGGGATTTTGTAGGGTGGGGAAGAGACCAAAGCCCTCTGGGCAGTGGAGGCAGGTGTGGCAGGTACTAGGCACCAGGAATCATGCCACGAGGCTGCAGGTCAGGGCACGGGGGTCGTAGGTAGAGATTGCATGGGGTGGCCAGCGCTGGCCTTGGAGGAAGTGCCCTGTGTGCTTTGCACCCCACCCCAGAGTAGGGGCGGAGAGCCCCGAGGTCCCTGCTTGCGTGTGTGTGCGTGCATGTGGCATGCGATGGCATGCAGGGCGAGGCRCAGTGTGACCCCAGTGTGGTCTAGAAGCTGTCTTCTGGGAGGTCCCGATTTCCTGGTTTCTTAACCCCCAGATATTTGACCACATCTTGGCCCTGAGCTCAGATGGCTTCTCCTGACCTTTCCCCATGTGACCCAAGGTTTCCTGAGGGGTTATGATGGGGACTGGAAAACACGGGGGGCAGGGGTGGGAGAAGAGAAGGAAGGAAGCGAGAGGATGGGCTTATCCCATAACCATCTCACCAGTTGCTCAAACTTGTCTCTTGCCTCATGGAAAAAAGGCACAATGACCTCAGTTCCTGCAYTGATACTAGTTAAAGATAACGAGGAACAGGGTGGGAGGGGGGCTGGTGTGAAGCGTGGGTGGGGAGGGGCCCCTCTGTAGCTGKGTGTGTGTTCGCACGCACACATGTGCACACTCACATTTTAAGGCTAACCACAGACCACACCTTCTTGCAGAGAGTTCTAATTCTAATAGACACACACACAGGACCACCAGATGTGTCTTCCTGCTGGATAGAACCCCCAGCTACAGTCTCCAGGGGAGGGAAGCTCTCCCCTCCTCATTCATTGCCCCCTACAGAGTCTGGGAAGTTCCTCACGTGAGCCCCAAGGGTACCAAGGACAAGTCCAGGGCAGCTGGAAAGGACGTTCTCTAGGGCTCAGAGAAGTAATGTCCCTAGGGCTCCTGTGTGTCCCACACCTGCCCATCAGTCTGGGCGGATCCTGGGGCTGCACCAGGACTTAGGGTCTTGGTAGAGGATGGGTGTTCTCAGAGTCACGCCTTGCTGAAGGCACTGGTGGCACCATGTGAGAAGGACAACAGACCACACCTCTCACTGCCAAACGGAACCCTTGCCCACACTCTGGGTTTCCCACGACATCCATCTGCCCTCCCTCCATTCCCCGCGGAGCAGCCTCACCCCATCATGGCTGCCCAGGGTGGGGACTGCATTTCCCAGGCTTGCTTGCTGCTAGGTGTGGCACTAAGACTCAGTGGGACAAGACGGTAGAGCCATGAGTCACCATCTTGGACAGTAAGATGACATGCTAAGGTTCCTGATGGGGTGGAGCCTCCAACCTGCCTACGGCTGGACGTTCCACATTCATGTCATCATTACTTTCTGTCCTTCACAGTCCAGCTGAAACCTACCCAGTGCCACCTCTCACCAGTGGATTCACTTAAGCCTCAGGGCTTGGAGAAGGGCCCACTTCCCCCAGGTGCCCTCTGCATAGGGTAGTTCACCAACCTGGGCTGACATGTCGATCAGTCGTGGGAGGGACAACCTGCTGCCTTCATCTGACTTTAAGAAGTCCAGTAGGCATCCTGAGAGAGAGAGAGAGAGAGAGAGAGAGAGAGAGAGAGAGAGAGAGGGCTCAACTGCACTTGTGCATGGTGACCTGAGCGGGCTGGGGGCAGGAAGCGGGCTCTGTCCTCAGATCCCTGGATGCACCGGGAGCTCTGCCTGCAGCTGCTGCTGCCTTAGGCTCACATAGACCCAGGCCTCACCACCCCTGGGGTAGCGCCCAACCACCCAGAGTGAACGCACAGCAGGTGCAGGGACCTGCCTGAGGTCTCAGGGCCAGAGGAGTGGGGACTGGAACCTGAGCTCTGGCTCTGGGATTAGTGGCCTTTCCTGACATGACAGGACATTCCTGCACACCTGCCTTGCCCCCATCATCCTCAATGGCAGGGAAACTGTCCCTGAGCTCCAAGCATCAGCAAGAAGACACTGGCATGGAGAGAGCGGTTCCCAGACTGTTGTCCCATGAGACCCTGTGGACCTCAGAGGCTGCCCAGCCTCACCCCTCTGGTCACCGTGCTATGAAATGTTCATATACTTGTAAAGGTCCCATGATAGGAAGGGGCAGTAGAACTATCTCTGGATGCCCAGCCAATGGATCTTTCCCCTTTTCAAGGTTCTTTCCCTCCCAGCGGGTATCAAAGTGCACCGGGTGCAGAAGATGCACTCTGGGAGCACTGGCCGCAGGGCTCCTGAGCTGAGGAGGCAGCTCTGCAGAGACCAACCAGCCCTCCTGCTTCCCGGCCTCCTCCCCTCCTGCCCCCCTGCACCAGCAACGTCTGGTGCAGATCCTGTGGCGATCCCCTGGCCTGACAAACCCACTGCAGGGACTTCCCGCCCTCTAAGCCTGGTCCTCTGCAGGGGCTGGGGCACCACCTCTGGCCATGTACTCGGTGACGATGAAGATGGGCTCCTTGGTGACCACGGCATACAGACGGACCAGCCTCTCATGCTGCAGGGCTTTCATCAGGTTGGCCTCAGCCAGGAAGGCTTCCGGAGACATGGCTCCCTCCTTCAAGGTCTTGATGGCCACCTTCAAGTTGTTTTTGTAATAACCTGACCAGGGAAGAGGAGTGRGGAGTAAAGGAGCCATTCAGAGGCTCAGAGAACATCTGTCACCACTGACACGAGGTCCCTTCTATGGGGACCTGAGGCCAGAGAGGGAATGTGTGTCCCCCAGGGTGATGGAGGGGTGTTCACACTTGGCGAGGATGTGACCATCTCCCCTGGCCACACGGGAGCCTCAGGCAATGGAGAAATTTAGGGGGGAGGCATCATACTGAGTAACAGACAATGACAGGCCTGTCCTTCCCAGGGAAGCTGCAGCTCGCGCCAGGCCTGGGCAGAAGGCTCCAGGAGCATCAGGGTCTGAGCCCGACCTGGGGCCTCAGAGCAGGCAGACAGTAAACAGCTTCTGTGTTCCAACAGTGGTTCGGTGAGCAGGAGCCGCCTGTGGCTGGAGGACACTGGGAGCTGGAGTTGAGTGACTTGGCCCAAGTCAACCCTGGCAGGTGGTGGCCTTGGTCTGCAACCGGGCTCTGGAGTTCCCAGTTAGTGGCCCACTCTGTCTAGCAGACAGCTTCTGTCTGTGAGCTGAGGCCAGGAGAGTCAGCAAGTGCTGAGGGCCATTGCCAAGTAGGTATGACGCATCAAAATCTCCTTGCCAGCGTACCCCGTGCTGCTTAGAGGACATTCGATGGGACATTGCATGTATGCTTTAGTAAGATGACCCTGCTCAAGGTGATCGAGGGTGGATCCAGGTTTGAGGAAGTATCCCGGTCCTTGGGTTTAGGGTGTTCCCGGTTTAAGGCGTTTCCCGGTTTAAGACAATAGGGGTTTTAGGGAAGTTGAGGTTGAAGATTATGGCTGCTGGGATTAGGGTGTTCCTGCTGCTTGTTCCCGTTGAGTTCTCGTGAGATTCAAATGGGATTTGGAAAAAGCCTCTTGGAGTAGGTGATTGGGGGCGGCGGCATATTGGAGATTTCACCAGAACGTGTTTGTCGGAGGCCGGTGTGAGTTCGGGAATAAAGAATTGCTGTTTGAGTCTACAAAGCTGTGTGGTGGCTCGTGATTCAGTGCCAGCCAAGACACTGGCAAGCAAGCCAGCCGAGCGCACAGGGTCCGTGGCAAAGCCAGCCKGGGCTGAGAAGGGCTGGGAGAGTGGGTTCTGTCCTCTCCATCACACTGGGTGCCTCTTGCATTCCGGGCCTGGCCTCTGCCTCTCCTCACAAGGCCTCCTGGGGCGGGAGCTCTGCATACACTGGGCCCTTGGCCTTCAGGGGCAACTTGCCCGTTTCAGGATGCAGGGCGGGGAGGGGCGCCTCAACTCACCCATCCACACTTCACCAAACTGCCCAGACCCRAGTTTCCGGACCAGCTTGAGGGACTGCCGGGGGATTTCCCATTCATCCTGGACCCAGGGGTTCTGCGATGCCGGGCTCACACAGGGCAGGGTCAGCCTCTGGCATAAGCCATCCCCTTTCTCTGTATCAGGGAAGAAAGAAAAGTGAGCTGGAGGCCAGACTCCACGCGGACGCCAGTCATCCTCCGCTGTGTGCACCAGGCACTGGCTTTGAGTCACCCTGTGGAGAGGGGCCAGCTCCTCAGGTCTGGCTTTGGGTCACCCTCCAACTCCCCAAGGCGATTCACACAATTTGGGATGTGTAACAGCCATCCCAGAGCTCCTCTGGCACAAGCCCCCGCCCCTCCAAGACACCCCCTTACTAGAATAGTGCTGCACCAGGGCCTGGAGGGAGGGGAAGGTGATCCTGGGGGAGATGTAGTAGCCCCCTTCATCCAGAGAGCGGATCTTATAGTGCTTGACCATCTCCCCCTGGGTGGTGGCATCCTTCACAGACAGGGAAAAGGCACCTGGAGGCCAACAGACACAAAGGAGGAATAAGGCACAGGGTCAAAAGGTCGGGACCCAGATGGGGCTTGGTGCCCCTGTTCTGAAGGACAGGTCCCCAGATTCTGGGCTCCATTTCCACTGGTTTCCTTCATCCCAATTTGCCCCCCTGAGCCTCCCTGTTGGCTCCATCTGATCCCCTTGACCTTCCCCAAAGCCCCAAACTCAGAGCATCACGAGCTTGGGGCAGGTAGGCCAGTCTCTCAGCAATCATGCAAGTCCCCTACTTGAGCACCTGGTCCCTCAGCTACCCTTTGCCATGGAACGTTGAGACATGTTAGGGTCCTTGGCTATAAAGGCTGACAACTCCTCCAGGAAGAGGTGCATCCACCCTAGGCACCAGCCCATGGGAGGAGCCCGGAGCTGTGTCCCACGGGCCTGCTCCTTCAGCTTGGCAGACACGCTCCTGTGGATTTTGTACCTGCACACGCCAAGGGCTAAGAACAATGGGGGAAGTAAGAACTTTCAGCTGAAAAACTTTTGTCCATGAACTTGGTGTCGCTATAAAATGCCTCTGTCCAGCTCTCTGGGTACCATGGACACYCCCTCCCTCTCCAACTCTTATTTGAACAGGAGGTCCCTCTCTGGGCAGGTTTCCCTGGCCCCACCTCCCAGGACTCGCCTCCCAGGAGCAGTACCACCCCTCTCCACCAGGGGTCAGAGGTGTTAAATAATAGTTCCATTGTCCCAGAGAAGAACTATCTTACACCTCTTTCTCCATGGTCCTGTGTCTTTGGGCCCCTTCTTCTCAGGTCAGAACCACCATCCCGTCCCCCTCCCATCTTCCTTGACGGATTCACCTCTCTCACCACCTACTTATGAAAGGACTGGAGAGGCTGTGCACTGACCAGTGCACGGGGAAGTGGCCACCGCCCCCACACCCACTGCAGCCGCAGGATGGAAGCTACAAGATCCTTGCCCACCCGACCCCGGCTTGGTAGCCCTGTGTCCTAGTCTGTAAGGACCTTGGCTCTAGCGCGTTCACAGATCCCTGGACCTCGCAGTGAGGACAAGAGCTTTCCTCTCCCTTTCTCCCTCAGAGGCCTCTCRGTAAGCAGGGAGCCCTACTCTCCTGCACCGTGGGGGTCTCTCCAAGTCCTCTCTGTGACGTCTCAGGACAAGTGCGTGCTCTTCTTAAAGAGGACTTCCAGCTCYGACCAGCGTCGGGTTTACAGAACTAGGACTCTTGCCTCTGGGGTGTTTGGGCTGCCCTGGGCACAGAGGGATGGTTCTCACAGATTCAGATTTCTTACCACGGAAGGTGCCCCTGCCTTTGGACTGGGAAACGAGGCTGTCGTCACAAAGACACCAATAGCAGAGGCTTGAGAAGCTGAGGGACATCTAGAGGCCACAGGACCACCCGAGGCTACCTCTCTGCCAGCCTTGCCTCCACTGGCCGTGGCCCTGTGATGCAGAKTCAGGGCTTCCTTTGGAAAGCTGAGGAGCCTGTGTGTGCACGTGTGTCGTTGTGTGTGTGCATACATGTGGGGGGGTGGGGGTAGAGAAGACACAAGACCGGCTGAGTAGCTAATTGTGGAAGTGGGAGTGGGGCCCCATCACACCATTCTGCCTCTGCATTTGCTGGAAATGCTCTACCAGTAACAGCCCCAGAACACACCTGCCCTCTCCACTGGTTCCCTGCTGGTTCCTTGGACAGGGGTGCTTTGCCCTGAAAATGGGATGGTGACAACATCCCAATGTCTCTATATAACGCCCAGGTGAGTACATGCATGTACACGTGCACTTAAGACCTGAGGCACCCGAGTCCCGRTGCCCCCTCTGCCCCCAGTGTGGCCCTGGCCCTGAGGCACAGAACGGCTCCAGGGTGTCTCACGGTGCCTTGAGCTCTCTTCACCCAGCTTTTGCTAAGTGAAATAAGCCAATCCCCCCAAAACAAAGGCCAAATGTTGTTTCTGATATGGGGAAGCTAAGACCCAAACAGCAGGGGGAGGGAAGAATAGAGGTTGACTGATTAGACAAAGAGGAATGCAGGGAAGGGAGGGGTGGGAATAGGAAAGACGGCAGAATGACTTGGCCATCACTTTGCTCTGTTCACGACCAGGTGAACACACGACCAGGGAAGCTCCACTTCATGTTCAACCACAACAATGGGACCCTATTTAGAATAAGTCACACTCCATGAATGTATAATATGTGAAAATGCATTCTGCTGTCATGTATATCTAAAAAGAACAAATAAACAAAAAAGGAAGAAAAAAGGAGGAAAGTCATTGAGCTAAATGACCAAGGAAGGGAGAGAAGCACGGTGGCTTGGTGGCAGCAGGAAAGCCTGTTCAGTCTCGGGTTTGAATCTGTGATCCTCGGGAGGGGGTCTGCCTCCCCAGCTCTCCACAACCGAGCATCACCCCAAACTCCTGTTACCTGTGCTCTCTGACTGAGATGCTCTCTAGGGATACTCTGAACCCCCAAATCCTTTGATTCCCAAATGTGGCTGGACCCTGAGGCTGAAGGGGACACAGGCTCCCCAGCCCCCACCGTTCCCAGTGTAGCTGCCGACAGTGAGTGGCTGGGCTTGTGGCTCTCTGCCATCCAGCCTGGGGGACGGCATGTTGGCATGCAGCATCTTAAAGCCAGGAGGGAGACCAGGGCAGTGGCTGCTGAAGAGGAGCCTGGTGGTGGGTGGGTGCTTCTTGAGGAGCCCCAGGCAGGAGGTGGCAAGGCCACCACTCACCTTTATTGGTCTCACTCTCTCTGATGAGGAAGGCACCCGCCTTGTTCATCGGAGCCAGCAGCTGCCTCTCCGCCTCCTTCCGGCTGATCGACCTAAAGAACCACCTAGAAAAGGGCAAAGGCAGCGAGCCTCAGAGAGCAGCCACGCTGCCTGGAGCATTCTAGTCCATGCACCTTTTAGGCTCAGCCGCTCCTGTTCCCCTGTTAACCCTGCCCCTCCGTCCCTCTGACCCTATCCCACCCCATTTCCTATCGGCCGCTGGACTTACTGTCTTCCTGAAATGAAAAGAAGCATAGTTTGTACGACCTCTGCAAAAATGCTCCAGATGGACAGCCCTTCCCCACAGTGCAGGCGGCACACAAGGGCATGCGCCCGCTCTGGAGCTGTGTCTGAATGACTGAGATGCCAGAGACGCTGGCCTGGGCTCTCTCTGTGTTCAGCATGGGCTGCTCAATGTGGAGGTGCCCTAGCTTCCCGCACACGGTTCTGGGACAGACATGGGACCAAATGTCAACCACTGTGACACCTTCCACATCCTGGGAGAGCGTACTGCACACCTGCACCAAGTGAGGGACTGAGTGGGTGGGTAGGTGAGTGGGTGGGTGGGTAAGTGGGTGAATGGGTGAGTGTGTGTTTGTGTGTGTATGCGCGTGCTCGGGTGGGTGAGTGAGTGGGTGAGTAGGTGGGTGAGTGGGTGGGTAAATGTGTGGATGAGTGGGTAGGTGAGTGGGTGAGTGGGTGAGTGGGTGGGTGAGTGATGAGTGGGTGAGTCAGTGGGTGAGTGGGTGAGTTGGTGAGTTGGTGGGTGAGTGGGTGACTCAATGAGTGAGTGAGTAGGTGAATGGGTGTGTGAATGGGTGAGTGGGTGGATGGGTGAGTGGGTGAGTGAGTGAATGGGTGGGTGAGTGGGTGAGTCAGTGGGTGGGTGAGTGGGTGAGTGGGTGTTTGAATGGGTGAGTGGGTGGGTGGTGAGTGGGTGACTGGGTGAGTGAGTGGATGGGTGGGTG